ATAGTGAGTAATATTGTAATATATAATACATTGAAAAAATCAATCGGTCAAATCGGTCCATCAAAATAAGTAATTTTACATTAAATTGTAAGAAAATATTGAACTATATAGATAATATTGAACTAAAATTATTTTATATCAAAATGTACTCAATTATACAAAATATATCTATTTAAATGTATTAACAGTATTATTATTGATGATTTATAAGAAGTATAATAATGTTATTTCTAAAAATGTTAATTAAAAAAATTATATAATTTTTTAAAAACTTTGCAGAAATTTTACAGAAAAACTTATATTTTATATTTAGATTATAGATAGAAAATTTTTGAATTTTTCATATTACCTTCCAATAAAATAATTTTTAATTGTAACTTTAATATATTATATATTTCCAAAAAACACAAATAAAATTGATTCTAAGATTGCATAAAATTCAATTCCTACAAGAACTAAAAACAATTCTTCCAAAATTTAAATACTCTAAGAACAGGTTTCGCATATATTATTATTATTTACTATTATTTTGCTGTTATTTATTATTAAGTATTAAGTATTACAAAATGATAAATTAATAAAAATAGATCAATGTAATTGCGTACCAACAACTACAACATCAGTAAGAAAATAATTTTATAAGGTAGTGAATGCTAGTTTTCATCATGAATCATGTAGTGAAGATGATTATTATTAATATATGTAGAGATGAACGTTTAATGGATGGATAGACATTGATAATGCGCATATTAACAAGAAGAAAAAATGACCTAGAAGAGCATAAAATGTGTATATATATTTTTTTACAAAAGATTATTAAAAAATAATTACTGATTGTATGTTCTTTCTAGTATATATAAAGTATAAAAATGTTTCAAATATGCTAAATAATAGATATTATTAGTTACTAAAAAAATGAGTGATATCCTATACAAAATTATCTTTTAAAAAAGATAAGAAATAACGCCAAGTTTACGCGCCCTTTTTCTTATTTATGTAAAAGAAAAAATTTATTTTATTTTATATAAAAATTTCCATCTACAAAAATCTTTGTAGTAATAATTTTATATTTAGTAATAATTTTATAAAAGATGTGATATCAAGAACTGGCGCCAATTTTTAACTTAATAAAATAAGAAAAATTTTATAGTAAAATACATTTTATTTTGTAATTCATTTTTATTTGAAAAGTCGTTTCATTATTTCTACAAAATATATGATATCAAAAAATAGCACAAACTTTTAATCGTATAAAGTAAAAAGGAAGCTTTAAAAAAAATGATATCAATCCAAAATTAATGTCAATTTGTAATTGCCAGTAAAATTTTAATTGAATTATTGTAATTGTGTTTATATAAAAATGTAAAAGAAAATACTGATGTGTAAGAAAAAAAAACGAACGTTCAAAAACTTAGTGTACGCGGATCGCACGGTAATTAATAATTAGTCAATTAGAATCGTGATAACGAGCAGAAACTGTAGTTAGAGATACATTAATCATTTTTATACGAAACATATTGTACTCTGCCCGCCAATGATTCGCTAGATCCTACAATGACTCTGACTTCAGTCTGATGATCCGCTGGGTCGATGAGATTAATAATGACATTTCGCGACAGAAATTGCAAACGTACAAAGGCGACAAAGATAAAATGACAATGATGTTTTTTAAAGTAAAAATTTCCATATCGAACTTTGCTTAGCAATATCTCCGCTCGTAAGGCATGTAGCAGAAAATTAAAATACTTTTATTATGCAAGTCGAAGCAACTCAAGCTATTGATCAAGCCTACTTAGAACTTAATTGGTTTAGCCGTTATTGAGATCCGATAATTTCAGATGCTTGCATCTCGGCGACTCGCATAAAGTCACTCGATAGTGTTCTTGGTTGACTTGACACCCGAGACACTACCGTGTCTCCTGATGTATACGCGTGTGTGTGTGTATGTGTGTGTATCTACGAGTATATTATCTTTAATAGAATGTAACATAAGTACAAACATGGAAGATCAATATTCACAGAAGAACAATATATAATTGATAGTGTAATATATAAGATCATAAAAACTTCTTATACTCATCAAAGGCTTCGAAAAGGTAAATTAAGTAATGTTTCATTAATCTTGTTAAATTTATATACAAAAATTGACTGTATAATTTTATTGAGTGGGAATTGTTGGGTCACGTTGCAATTGACTACTAGCTACTCACAACGTTTAAATAGAGTTTGAAATGCTCTAGGTATTGGCCGCTGTGAATTGGCTGTGGTCAATCAGAACGCGTCAAACGGAATGCTCCAATTTTATTTGTATCTGAAAAGTCATATAGTATTCTTAGTTATAGATCCTGATTTTGCAGAGCAATACATACATCGTAATACTTTTAAATTAAAATCCTCATAATCTGCTGAAACTAATAATGGTAAGTAAAACAAAGTATATGTAAGTTTGTATATTAGTTATGTATATAATATTTATTTTACAACTATAATTTTTTTTATTTAGGTGATTATTGTTGTACCGATGAGATATACGAGACACTGTAGGATGTTTCCAATAATAATATTATGCCCGCGCGAATCTTCTATGGTCGAGTGGAATCGAGCTGCCGCATGGAGAAGAAGCGAAGTGCTCTCCGGGGTAGCGGAGAATGTGTTTATATGGATGTTTTGCGCGGTGACTCGTGGAGTACGGACGTGTGTTCGCCGAATTCCTGTAGTTGTTCTGGTTTGAATAAAACCTTCGTGTTTTGTAAAAGAGTGTTAAATCATTTCAAGCGCGGCTTCTTAGCATATCGCTCGAGTGCGGAATCGCGGGAGCGTGTGCGTGATTAGTGTTTGTGACCGCCGCGGACGTAACAATAATAATATCATGGAAACAATAATAATATCATATACAAAACACAGGATATTTTAAATGAAGAAACCGGAGATATTTTTAATAATTTTTTTGTTAATAACTTTATAATTTTTTTTTAAATAGATTTGTTTCTACAGTTTTCACATAGCCACATGAAGCTATTCTTTTATTGCTAGAAGAATACAATTTAAGCCAAAATGACATTGTGACGGGAAAAATATCTCAAAAAAATATATCTCTTCCACAATTTTTTGTGGAAATGGTGAAGCATGAGTATAAAATTACAGAAGCATAATGTTTATCTAAATTCTCAGAAAAATATAAAACGAATATAAAGCTGTGAAAGATCATAACAAATCTGACAATGGAACATTATGGTCATATTTTTCTGTAAGTTATTCTAAAAACAACATTTAATTTGTATGATTTACTAATTAAAATCCTTTTTCAGTATATGGATACTTTACTAAGTTCAAAACTTTTTATGTCTCCCATGAGTACTATCTCATCTACTGCTAAACGAACCAGTCGCAATCTGATTCTAGTATTTCCAGCGAAGATAGCTGCTTGGACATAAATGAAAAACCAAGTAAGGATAATAAATTTGTTTCTTATTAACTTTGTGTGATTGAATGTCTTAATAATCCTAATAACTGATAAATTATAATTTATCTTGTACAACGATCATGTAAATCAAATGGCAATAATATTTACTTTATTTAGAGAAACGTCTCATTAGAAAATGTCTCATATAGAAAAATTAATAGAAGACTTCAAAGAAGAAAGAAAGATAACCGAAGAAGCCCTTGAAAAGAGACACTAAAAAGATACTAAAGAGAATATGGAAATACGTTTGAGATTTCTTGATTCATTAGAAAAAATGGTAAACGTTTTAGTAAAGAAGTAATATCGATATTCGTTATCATTAATATTGGTTCATATTCTGAATCTTCTTTTATCGATAAAAGCGTCTTTAAAAGTAACTCGTAGTCAATCAGAAGTCACTTCTAAAGATTCTTATATCGATAAAACAGGAATCAAAATATAGGCCACAGAATTTTTCTTCACATAAGAAATACGTTATTCGATCGCAACTGAAAGTGAGATATAGTACAGTAATGTATTCTGTGATATTTAACATTTATTCTGAGATATTTAAAATGTGAAAGACAAAGTATCACAAGTATCTATAAATATCATCAATGCATATTTGATGCAATGATATTTTGAAATAAAAGAGTCAGTTGATAATATGCTACATTACATGTTAATATTACGTGTTGTTTTTAAGATAATCAAATATCTTTATTAGTTTAAATAAAATATGATACTTTGTTTTAATATTAAACTGTGAAAGGAGGATGAAAACAGAATTCTTTATATTGTTCTCTTAATAGAAAATAGTTCTCTTGATTAAAAATGTTACAAAATTATATTTTATTTAAACATTGAGTTTTTCTTTCACATTGTGTGTTTTATTTAAATAGATGCAAATTATTATAAGTATTACTACTTTTGTTTTATAGATATAAATATATTCTTATAAATTCATAATAAAATAATAATAATATATATAATGGTAATTGTTTTTCTTTTATTAAATATCCATAAATTTATACAGTCGTATAGGTAAACTATTACAAATTATGTCTCGTTTTAGTTGAGCTACATTATTACATCTTTCATTTGTTAATTGTTCATTAACGTCGGAAACAGTTCGGAAACATTTGGTTCTATAAATGGAAAGTCATCATTTTTCAAAAAGCAAATATTATGCAAAACACGACACGTCAAGATAAAATCTGGAAGTAAATCAACACGGTCCATATTTAAAACAGTTCATAAATTTCGAAACTTTCTTTTTAATAATGCGAATGTTCGTTTAATCACCATTGTAGCAAAAGAATTACAAAAATTATAATTTTTTTTTCTGTTAGTTAAATGTCCATTATTACAGAATGATACCATTAGGTGTTTATGAATATTATAAGTTGCGTTGCCCAATAAATAATTGTCATCAGGAAATTTACTTTGATCTCGTAAATAATCATTTATTTCAGATAAGCGAAAAACACGTGAATCGTGGACGGGACCAACATGTCCAGCAAGACAATGAGTGAATCGTTCTTGATGGTCACAAATAGCCTGTTAATAATATACAAGGAATTACATTTGCTCGAGAATGAGTTTATATTCTCTGTGAAAGCTGCGCGCAGGTGTCTACTTATCTAGTTATGATGGCAGCACCGCGCGGACACATGCAATATGCATGACTACGGAAGGTGGCCATCTGAGGCGCGTCTTTTGTGCACACTCTCTTTAGAATTCTTGTGTTTCGGCCATCAGACGCATCGCTGATCGCTCGAGACAGTGCTTGGCTATCGTGACTCGTGCAGTGATAAACTCACAAAGGAATAATTCTGCTCTCAAGATTCTCTCACCCAAAGTCAATGAAAGTGACGTGATCGGGAGTGCCGCCGGACTATTGCAAGAGTATATCATCACACGACGCTCGTACTCATCACGTGTTCACGTGGCCGGCAAGTGAATCCTCGATCTTCTCTCTCTGAGATTTGGACTTGTTCACTTGGAGAGCATTAATATAATCTCTCCAAGATTCGTCAAACACAGTGCAGTTCAGACTCTTCTCAAACTCTAACGATGTGTCGCCTCATTCAATGTTTAATTCGGGACGCAGTTCAAGAACTCATTTAACAGTGAGAATAGACATAAACTAATCGTGGGTGAAATCAGTGATATAGACTAAGCGAATCGCAGCATCGATTATCGGGACATCGCTCACAGTCCCAGAACTTTTGCAATAATTTAATTAAATCTTAAATAACATTACTTATTGCAC